CCAGTGGTACTTTTACGCTTGTTTATGCGATGTGAATCTTGTAAATAACCTTAGTGTTTTCTGACGGACACACATTCAATACTTTGGTTTTACAACGAGGCTGGGCGTTGGTCATAAACGCAGTGACATAACATTAATTGCTGTGATGACATGTACATAGAAACCGCTCGGCTGTGTCGCCGTGTGTAATAGACCTTAATGGTAGAGATTTTTCCTGCATGACATCATACTGACTGTATTCAGGAGAAAATTCCTGTTGCAAACACATAAAGTGTCCAATAACAGTAAGGTATATTTATCACTTCGTTAGTGGTGTTGTTGAATGTACATAATTAGGGATCTCTCACTTGGGTGAAAAGGGTTAGGGTTAAGCATTGTGTTCTCCCGATAGAGGAGACGATATGCATAGAATGTGCGTGATGTTGAAACAGTGTGTATTGTGCAGTTCAGTAAGGCACAAGGGGATATAGTGAGTGAGTGAGTGAGTGAGTTTAGGTTTATGCCGCACTCAGCAATATTCCACCTATATGGCGGCGGTCTGTAAATAATCGAGTCTGGACCAGACAATCCAGTGGTCAACAGCATGAGCATCGATCTACGCAATTGGGAACCGATGATATGTGTCAACCAGGCCAGCGAGCCTGACCATCCGATCCCGTTAGTCGCCTCTTGCGACAAGCATGGGTTACTGAAGGTTCATTCTACCCCGGACCTTCACGTGTAAGAGATATACAGTGTGGTGGGTGATATTTCTTTACAATATGAAGTAATGGAAATTCTAAGATGTTTTGCTAAAGGATCAAAGGCGCCGACAGTACTTTATCAGGCGATAATCTACACTTTTTGCACTGTCACTGTATCGACGTCACTACGCCGTTCTCGTCTGCCCCCTCGTTATCAAACGTACGGTTGGTTGCCGACGTCACGAGGCGTGTCAGCTGTCATCGCCTGGTACAGTCTTCTACAGTAAACTACTCCGTACACCCCGTTTCTTGGTCGTCAGTTGCTTCACTCGGCTAACATCACTAGTGGAATCATTACGTTTACGTTTTTCGACGGATAAAATGTCTCAGCTTGACTCTCAATTAAACAGCGACACGGCAACGTTCGCAATGTTTACATTCCCACAATGCATCTGATGAATGTCGCGTGACCAGTCGGTGTGAGGCCGGGAAAGCCACATTTCAAAAATAGCTATTGCCGAGAAAGCCACATTTCAATTACATGACTGTAGCCGGTAAAGCCACATTTCCAATAGATTAATTAATTAATGGATTACCGTAACCGGTAAAAGAGTGTACCCATGTATAATATTGTTTTCACATGAAACGAATAATCTTTCTTACTCACAAGCGTGGTGTTTAGCAGGTTGAGCAATACCGGTAAAAGACTGTTCCTACACTCAACGCCAAAAGAAACGTTACCCTCCTACCTTTATGAATTATTTAAAAACTATCAAAGATATGTTAAAAGGTATTAGTTAACAAGAGAGCTCTACAACACAGCTTTTGCAAATCACGAACCAAATTCTCAAACGCATTCATATTTAGGTGAAATTCTTCTTTTTCAGAAGAGTTAAATTGTCCTATTATCGACCGAAATATTCCAATAACAGCGATTTAGATGTCCAAAAGAAACGTTGAAATAAAATTCTGCTTTTGAGACAGAGATTAACCATTTAAAGTCACCATTTTTCAAGTATTAAAGCAAGACAAAACTGTTGTAGAGTGTGTAAAATAATTTTTACAAATTTGTAAAATAATTATTCCTAAGATTTCAGTCTTCTAAAACATTTTCTGCTGATTTGCATTAGTGAAAACAAGTACAACGTGTCTTTGATATTGTGAAAAAGTGTTTAGGAACACCTAAAATGATCTTTGTTAACATTTTGGCTTGCAAAGTAATATATTTCTATTTTCTGTTTACACACAACAATATCATTCGCAAAAACGTAGCAATATTCAAGTAGTATTTGCATCAATACAGAACCATCGATGCTGGTATTGTATCTCTGAGACCAAGCTTCTGAACCAACACCTGAATGACATGATGTTTGGTGATCTTACGCCATTTTATCTGTTTGTACACATGGCAACAAACTAAACCATTATCGTTATTGTTATGTTTTACAGATTAAGATTTGTTATTATTATGTGATAATATTATAATTATGTAAAATACCTATTAGTATATATAATTATAGAAATAAAATCTGTTGTGATCTGAATAAAATTATGAGGAAACATGTCTTGTTTTGTTAAATAGGTTTATCCTCGTTTTGCCACCACCCTGAAAAGGATTAACAGCTACTGTGTTTATACAAGCAAAGGGGTCATGTCAAAATTACTCACAGCAGCGAGTGAACTGAACTCAGGCTTAATGAGCATCCATGATAATGTTAACAGTGTGATAATGAAAACTTGTGAGTAAACACAGTTCACTCAATTTTAACAATGTAATAATCAAGACACTTGCAGTGACAGTTTAACACATAAACAGTGAGATAGTGTTTATAAGTATTGGGAACACCAAACAGCTTCACTGCAAAATGGCAAATGCACTTGTGAATGTCGAGTTCTTTCCCATCAGTCGTGGTGGCCGATTCGGTATCTCACCTCATTGGATTTTAATTGTTTATAACTGTGGAAGTGTTTTTCTGTGTAATAAATTTCTTAATATTCTTATTTTGTACTGTATTAATAGTTCATGTAATTTGTGTAAATGCATTAAAATACTTAAGACGACCCCTGCCACCTTCTAGTGTTCTTCCAATCAACACGCTTCGCCACCCTTAACAATAGGGTGGTGGCAAAACGAGGACACCCCGTTAAATACGGTAACCTGTTTGAATCCCTAAGCATGTTTTGACAGCATATTCGGGACGGTGTATTCCCATACTGCCTACAGGTTAAAACAACATGATAGGATCCAGTGATCAGGAAGTGAAGTTCATGGGAATACACCGACCTGACCTATTCTACTCCTGCTACAATTAACTTGACCAATTACATGGTTAATTAACTGACCTGTTCTGTGGTGTCTTCCCACTCTGCCTACAGAAATTTTAAAAAATGACAAGTGTTTTGGGGGGTTATTCATTCTGAGAATTCTCCGTCTTTACATGGAGACATGGATATATCATGAAAAATTGATAAGTTTTACAGTCTTTTACTGGTTTCACAATTACACACAACTGACAAGGATGTCCATTTCGTTGCCATGGACTCCGGTATGTGATGGGACCCAGATAAAAAGTATTTGAATATTTTTGTTTTGGTGGTATAGTATTCTTCTGTATATGTTATTTATTAAATCTGGTCTTTTTGTTGTAGAGTAATTTTTGAGAGCCTGTATGGAGCTTTAGGAATCCGTAAAAATGCAGATGGTAGTTCTTGTTTGGTCAGATGTTGTTTGCAAGGCCTGAACTATGGCTGCGAGTTCTGCTGTGGAGATACTGGAGTATGCCGGGATATTATACAATTGTTTAAGGCTTTTTGGGGTATGTGAGGTGAGGTGAGGTGAAACTGGGTTTAACGTCGTGCTTGAGAATGTTTCGCTCATATAACGACGTGCATGCGTGTGTGTGTGTATGTGCGACTGCTTGTACTAGCCCAGACTTAAGCTGGTTTTATAGTGCTAGCCCACTGAGATACCAGGCCGCAGTGAAGCATGAATACCCCACTCAGACACATTATACTGACTCCGAGCCGACCAGTCCTTGTTGTACCCAATAATGCCGAGCGCCAAGCAGGGACCAACAAGTACCATATTTTAACGTCTTTTGGTATGACGTCGGGAAACGAACCCGCGACCTTCCGCTCTCCGGGCGGACGCTCTAACCACTACACCACGGATGCGGTACCTTTTTGGGGTATGTAGATACCAAAACCAGTAGTACTCTTCTGATTTCAAGCACATTCTAACAAGTCCCAAATTAATTAGACCAGTCACTAAATATCTCATTCATACAAAATTATACCAAACAATCTAGCAACAAAAACAATAATACCACTTTTTACCATTTTAAAAATTGTTATAAGTATGTATATATGTTCTTTTAACTTTTTAAATCAGTTCTCTCTTTTTATCAAGTTCATTTTTTAACCTTTTATACATTTATCATTATTCACTTAATAAATATGCTTTTAAACATAGGGTTGGTTAAAAAATACAATAACAATAACCATTTACTACACCACATCTATATTATATTCAAAATCTCTAATACTCTTTACCTATTTCATATTTAAACCTTTTTAATTCGGCATCCCATTCAAATTTCCTTAATACTCAGTTGTTTTGGGTTTTTTATTGGGTAGTAACACCACTCTTTCAAAATTTCTCTTTTTTGGTCCCCTCATTTCTTTATAAGTGTACTACCCCGTCGCCGAAATACCTTAGTTGTGCGTGCGACATTAAATAAAGCAAATAACTACTACTACCTTACTCCAAACGACACCCCCCTTCTTCTTTGATAATTGGGGTGTTCCATTATTCTACAGGGCAAAAAATCATTTCCCACGCTGCTTACAATATTTTTGTTGGCAGTTTGGGATGTAGGCAGTTTGGAACTGTAGGCAGTATGGGGCCTAACCACCGGGACAGCTACATTCCAGGTTCACGCAACCATAACTATTGCCGCGTAAGTCACATAAATTTTGGCTATCTGTTTCGGAGGTTCATTCGCATTAAAGCGACTTTTTTAGCGTGTATACACATTGAGTGAATTTCGTTTTCGCCTTCCCGCGGATGCTGTCAGTTCAGTTCAGTTCAGTTCAGTTCAGTTAAGTTCGCCTTCCCAGTTAACATAAACAATGGGCGAGCGAATGTTTGTTCAAGTCCTTCCATGCATGAACAGGCGATGTCGACAACAAAACAACTAGTGCATTTAGATATTTTATTAAATGTTACATGACAAATTGTGCCTTTTTTTCTGGTAAACAATAACAAATTTGTTCACATGTTGTGACGCATCTTCACATATGAAACAGTCATAAGCAAGTTTCAGAGCGTACGATGCCCTTTCAGCATACTCGATGACAGAGACGTGCCCGGTGTCAAGTCTGGTCTTCAAGTCATCCAGTTTTCGCTGAAGGTCTTGATACTTCTTCTTTTTAGGAGGGAGACGTTGTCCAGCGGTGTATTGCACCAAATGCATTTCTGTTGTCTTAGGTTCCTTCATAGGTCTTCAGCAACCCATGCTTGCCACAAAAGGCGACTATGCTTGTAAGAGGCGACTAACGGGATCAGGTGGTCAGGCTCGCTGACCTGGTTGACACATGTCATCGGTTCCCAATTGCGCATAACGATGCTCATGTTGTTGATCACTGGATTGTCTGGTCCAGACTCGATTATTTACAGACCGCCGCCATATAGGTGGAATATTGCTGAGTGCGGCGTAAAATTAAACTCACTCAATCACTCATTATGTGAAAGCAGAGAATTAGGTATGTCTACGTATTTGCAGATGTGGCAGGTTTAAAGGTTATTTTGCATTTCTCTGCATTAGTCAGGAATCATATGCATGTATGCAGAAATATATTAAAACCAGTCATGATATAATCAAATCATGTTAAACTCGTGAAGATCTGAAATATAATTGGTTTCCAGCACCGTGCTTGTTGAATGAAGCGACAAGTGAGGTCAGGTGGTCAGGCGAGCTGGTTGGCAGATGCATACATGTCATCATATCCAAGCAGCGTAGATTGATGCTCATGATATCAGTCACTGGATTGTCTGGTCCAAAATTGATTATTTATAGAAAGGCATCATACTGAGCTGGAAGAACTGCCGAGTGCTGTGTTATATATATCCAGCCAAAAACAAAACACACTTCTTGTTGAAGTGTGAACAATCCTGTTATAATGGCTGATTAACATTGAACAACAGCAATGTCAAAATTATGAATTTTCATCTTCATTTGTAGATTGTCTCAGCATCACGTGCATCTAAAGATGAACGACATTCATGTGGATGTAGCAGTTATTGGTGCTGGTATCAGTGGTGAGGACAACTCAACTTCACTTCTTAAAGTTTCAAATTCTCTCCCATAAACATATTCTAATTGCACTGATTAGTGTCTCGACTGATACAACATGTTATCAAACTGCCAACAATATGGATGCTTACTTATGCTGGTTGTTCTCTCTATCAGTTATTTACAGAACCAAAGCAGGAATGTAATTCTTCGGTGTGAAACAATATTCATTTTAATTGTTTGGAAATATGTACATTTAGGATTAATGTATGAACTTTGTAACATGTGTTGAAATTGCATGTAGGGCTATCTGTAGCGGCAGAGGTAGTTTACAAGATATACATTCTAAATTCACGATAGTTACACCAACAGCTTATACGAGTTGAAGGCACTTAGATGTCGTTAGCATGAGTCTTTAACATTTACTCAGAAATATTAACATGAACTCTTTCAAAATGATTATTGACGATTTCACCTAGAGGTTGTAACAGAATCATGTTTTGGGAGCACCTGCTGTTAACATGATTCCTCTTGTCTCAAACTTTGGTAAGCCTGATATCATATGTTTGATGGTCCCTATTTATCCATATTACCACAGTTGTACTGCATATGTGAACTCTGGTTTTCTTTCTATGAGGACTAAGTGCTGCCTGTTTACTCAAGAAGAGTGGATTGAGTGTTGCTGTCCTCGAAGCCCAGGATCGTGTCGGAGGACGGACCTACACCGTCAAGGTACAAACATTGGTCTACGTTAGTCTTGTCTCACTAGCTCCCTCTTGATCCCCAGTAAGGTGGTCAACCTTTGGTTGTTGGTGGTTTATAGCCTGGTTTTAATTGGTACGAATGCATCTATTGGATCTACTCTCTTCTTATTTTAATTATGGTCAGGTAGGTTTTATTTTAAAAACTGTAATATATATATACTGTCCTTTGTCGACAGATATCTTAAAACGATTACCTTATTTTTATCGCTATATGGCTGTAATATTGCCGACCCGATGTAACATTTTAATTCATTCACTCACTCACTCACTCACTCATTATCTCCCTATCAAAGACATTGTGAGCATATATAATTGCTTTCATTCTTCTATGCATCCGTCAGCTCTGAAATGAACTCCAAGTTATTTAACACATTGAAGTCATTTTCTCTAACAAAGAACAAGTCAAGTTAGCTTTTGTTGTAGTTCCTTGTCAACTTGATTGCTGTTATATTTGCCATCTTACTGACATTATGAGGTTTATGAAGCTAAATTCTGGCATTGATGATCTATGGTGCCTGTAAGATTGGCTCACAGATTTGCAATCTGATCTTGGTCATGTTATATGTTATTTCAGGTAACCTCATTGACTATTTCAAACATATAACATTGTACAAAATTGTCCACAGTAATTATGAAGTATGCCAGATACCACATGCCATACATGTAATGTATCGTGATATTTAGCACAAACTTTGACTTCCTGTACCCCTGTGGCTGCGAATAATGTCAAGGTAGTGATAATGAAACCGTAATTATGACCTGCTTTGTAGCTGTTTATTCCTGTGTGAATATGTAACGTATTGAACAAGCTTTTAGGATATAACTTATGTTACAGTTATGTGTAATAATCTGATGTAACAGTCCAGAAAAAGGTCATTGTGAGCTACAGAATGTATTTTCCTGATCACCTTGTCTGTCCATGACATACATCATTGACTGGCAATGTAAAGGGATATATGTCAGTTTCATTTGACCAGTTGACTGACAGCGATGTCTTCCAGTCTGTGTTGAAATCCAAATTCCTGCTGGTTACTGTAATGATACACATTTGAACCCTGCAGGGGACCGGACATTTAATGATTTATTACAAGGTTGGTGGACTTGTGGATTAAGCTGAGGTGATTAAAAATTTGACACTTCTACATCCTCAAATGTATTTTTGTACATCAATACTTTAAACGCATCCAAAACTACAATTAAGTCGTTTCTGTATGGTCTACCTGGATGTTGCTATATGTTTTGTATGTATCAAACACTTGTTTTACTGACCATCACTGTCATAATTTCAAAAGCCCTGACATTGAATTTACTAACATTGCCAACAAGATGCTTTTATGTGTTCGTATCAGCCGTGTAAATCATTGCCTCTGTGTCAATTACTGACTTTTCATTACAGGTGAAATTCATGGTTAAGGTTCAATCAGGATATATTTTGTATCTGTGATCAATGTTTTATTAAAGTGGATTGTTTTATTGTAGCACCCAACTCATGGCTCTGTAGATGTGGGCGGCGCCTACATTGGACCCACCCAGAACAGAATGTACAGGCTCATCAAGGAACTTGGACTAGAAGTCTACAATGTCAATGAAGAGTACAGGACTGTCCTGTATATTAATGTTAGTGACATATCTTAAATACATTTGTTGGCATTAATTATGACAATCTCTATTTATGAACACATTTAATGATTGGTGCCTTATATCATGACTGAGTGAGTGAGTGTATTTTTACGTCGCAAGTCAGCGAGCCTGACAACCCGATCCCGTTATGAGGTGGCTTGAAGGCAGCACCTTGTCAAAATAACGATTATTAAGATATTCTCAACATTTCTAGCGTTTTAGGACTTAATATTTTAATGAGAGTAACATGACATGTCACCCTGACCTTTGTAAAGAGCCCACCAATTTGTGGACATAATGTAAATTTTGAATTTGCTTGAATTAGAAACACTGTATGGAACTGCTTTAGTGGACAGTCACAAAGATACTTCCTCCATGTTTGTGTCATGTCATGTCTGAATATTTTCAGGGTTCCTGGTCAGCCTATAAAGGAAGAATACCATGTCTGAGAAATCCTTTTAGCTACCTGGATCAAAATAATGCAATCAGAACCATTGACAAAATGGCTGCACAGGTACAGTGCAAAACAATTGCTTGATTATTTTTTTATTTTTTTACAGCTGCCGTCTCAAGAAAAAACGATCTTAAATTTGAAATAATGATAAAAATAGCATCCACGAAACACAAGAATTAGTCAAACATATGAATGAATTGTTGGTTACCACCGACTGTATTGAATCAATAATGTTTGCTGATAAGGAAGTATCATCAAAAGTCTTTTGTGTACAACAGTCAAATGTGTTTTCTTCCTCAAGATAGAGGCTACAGGTGGCCCAGGCTAAGGTGATGTAATCAAATGTGCCGAGTTATGTCCCCTGGGCACTCCAGGAACACAATTATCATGGCCTTGGCATGACAAACAAACACTTCTACTGTTCTACTCTTCCACCCCCAAGTATGTCTACATATATTTCGAAACCTCAAAATATTCTGGATATTTTGAACTGATGTCCGTAACTACCAGTGTCTAACGTGTAAAAACATATCAAATAGTACCTGACTTCTGCAGCAGATTCCATTTTCATTTCATGGCAGACGTTCTACTAAGAGTTACCTGCCCTTGCATTTCCATTCCCATACTCCAAAGGCGAACTAATTTGGGAAAAAGAAGGGTTCCCATAATATCTTATTTAATATCCAACGGAGCAGTTAAGATGTGAGGTGTCTGGAAAAAGAATTGACATGGGTGTGCATCCCTTGCTTCTCTAACTCTCCTCTCAATCAACCAGTGAGCTATATTCATCATCAGGCCGAGGAGCCTTCACTTCTCTCCTGCCACTAAGATACTGGTGTGAGGGTCTTGTAGTATTCCCACTTATGTCATGACCATCAGTAGCTTCTTGTCACCATTTGAAGATCTATGGACATGATAAACGTGACACTGGAATGAACATATTAGTGCTGCTTGCAGGTGCCCCTAGGTGCACCCTGGAAGGCGGCCAAGGCTAAGGAGTGGGATTCAATGACTGTACAGGAGTTCATCGACTCTATTTGCTGGACCAGGTAAAGGAATTGTATTGTATCATAACTGGTGTAATACTGCTAGATGTAAGATGTCATGATGATTTACAGTTATGACGTCACAATGTTAAACCTTTGTCACAATGGTATGAGACCTTGCTTGACTCATAGAAAGCTGAGAGTCATTACTCTGTAGGCAGTTTCTATCGATTTAAATTGGAGAGTAATAAGCAGAATACTAAACTCGCTTCCGTGAAATAGCATTTTGATTATACTCGTGAAAGATTTAGTATCAAACTCGCTTTCCCTCATTTGATACCATATCATTTACTCCAACAATAAAATGGTATTACACGGAAGGCCGTTTAGTATCCTCTATATATCTTTCATCTTGATATAAAAAGCAATTAGAACAGTACAGAACACTGTTAGAACTAGAGAGTAGAGAGTGACTGTTTTTACATATAAGGATGTTTCCTCTTTTTCGGTCTTGCACTTTCATGTCAATAAGGCATGTTTTATTCTATTCCTGGTATATTTCAGGGAAGTGAAACGAATAATGAAGATATTCATCAACACCGTATTTACATCTGAGGACCATCAGTTGTCCCTTCTGTACTTCCTTCAATATATCCACGGTGGGCAGAGTTTCAACAGGGTGTCTCTCATCACTAATGGAGCACAGGTAGAATGTTAATTTCAGTCTCAACTCCACTCACATTCACCTCAATGTCAACGTTATGTAGCACAGGTGGAGTGTTAGTCTCAGTCTGCCCTCCACCCACAGTGACCTCAATGTAGACAGGGTGTCTCTCATCAGTGATGGAGCCAGGTCAAATGTTAATTTCTGTCTGAACTCCACCCACAGTGATCTCAATGTAGACAGGGTGTCTCTCATCAGTGATGGAGCCAGGTCAAATGTTAATTTCTGTCTGAACTCCATCCACAGTGACCTCAATGTAGACAGAGTGTCTTTCATCAGTGATGGAGCCAGGTCAAATGTTAATTTCTGTCTGAACTCCACCCAAAATGACCGCAATGTAGACAGAGTGTCTCTCATCAGTGATGGAGCCTGGTCAAATGTTAATTTCTGTCTGAACTCCACCAACAGTGACCTCAATGTAGACAGGGTGTCTCTCATCAGTGATGGAGCCAGGTCAAATGTTAATTTCTGTCTGAACTCCACCCACAGTGACCTCAATGTAGACAGGGTGTCTCTCATCACTGATGGAGCCAGGCCAAATGTTAATTTCTGTCTGAACTCCACCCGCAGTGACCTCAATGTAGACAGGGTGTCTCTCATCAGTGATGGAGCCAGGTCAAATGTTAATTTCTGTCTGAACTCCACCCACAGTGACCTCAATGTAGACAGGGTGACTCTCATTAGTGATGGATCACAGCTAGAGTGTTAGTCTCAGTCTGCCCTCCATCCAGAGTGACCTCAATGTCATCAGGTTGTCTCTCATCGCTGATGGAGCACACTTTGACTGCTAATCTCAGTCTGCCCTCCGCCCACTGTGGATACAATGTAAACTGGTTGTCTCTCATCAATGATGTAGCACACATTGAATATTAGTCAAAGTCTCCTGAGTCATCCAAGATCTATTGAGCTTAGCCATTGTTTATTTCTTTTCCCAGGAGAAGAAGGTTGTTGGAGGGACCCAGCAGTTGTCTGAGGGGATGAGTGACTGGCTTGGTGCCGATGTTCATCTCAGATCCCCCGTCACCAGCGTCAAACAGGATGATGCAGGAGCAGTTGTCCACACCGTTGATGGGAAAGTCGTCAAGGTTAGTGATTCACACTTGACACACTGGTGATACCTTTATGTGTCACTTCTCTGGATCAATGATTCAAGTAGTATAAAGCTCTACAAACTTCACTATTGATATAGAATGCTACAAAAACACTCACTTGAACTGCTTGAGAAATGTTGATAAAAGTACAATGACAAGGAAATGGGCAAAAAATGCCACTGTAGCTGCATATTTCTGATAGTGATACAAAACCTATCAAAACTTAAATAATTATAAAATACCATACTGGTTCGGGTGACTTAAAGAGTGTAGTCTCTTCACCTCAGTGTACATACGTGATCAGCGCCATGCCACTCACGCTGCTATCCAGAGTGCGCTTCTTCCCTCCGCTACCTGGTCTCAAGGCCCAGTTGATACAGCGAGTCCCCATGGGCTCCGTCATCAAGACTAACTTGTTCTACAGCACCCCGTTCTGGAGAGAGCTAGGTGAGCACTATTCAGGACACATGGAACTGAGAGCTGGTCTGCTGTTTTTGATGACTTTACAGATCTAAATGGCACAGCTGAGATTCTATATATCTAAGTATCACAGCTGAGATTTTAAGTATCTAAATGTCACAGCAATGTTTCGTCATTAGTGATGCATGATGTTACAGATCTAAGTGGCAATGAAGTGTTCCGTCGTCACTGATGAACACTTTACAGATCTAAGTGGCCAAGGGGTGTTTCATCACTAGTACTGTTACAGATCTAAATGGCACAGCAATGCTACATTTCTAATGATGCATAATGTTACAGATCTAAGTGGCACAGTAGTGTTTCATCACTAGTGATGTACAATGTTACAGATCTAAGTGGCATAGCTGTTTCATCACTAGTGATGTATGATTTGCAGATCTGAGTGGAGTAGCTATGAGTGACAATGGGCCATCTGCGACATGTTTTGATGACACAAAGCCAGACGGCTCCCATCCTTCGATCATGGCCTTCATCCTGGCTGACAAGTGTCGCAGCCTCAGTCACCTTACAAAGGAAGAGAGGTGGGTCACTGTTTATGCCCGTCATCCCTATCAAAACAGCCTGCAAATACTCGGATCTGGTCCAAGAAAACCACCAGTTGATAACATGATCAGCATCCATGGCCATCAGTGTGCCATATAAAATTGCCAGTATGTTCACCGTACTTGTGCTACTACTAAAAAACATATTTTGTCTCACACAGATTGTAAAATCCAAAGTTCAACCACTTTGAACATTGTAATATTGGGATAATCATTATTCACAAAACCTGTGACATCTTGACAGATGCCACCAGTGTATGTATACATCAGCCTTTTGTTTGTCTTTTAATCTAAAACCTTTTAGGATGTTTAGAGTGTATGTAATGGTTTCCTTATCAGAAAAATCAGACCTAGACACTCGTTTTTGTTGTTGTTAGAATAGTATTTCAATATATTTTATCATGATATGATACAGGTGTTATACATGGTTTCAGAAAGCAGAAGTTGTGCCAGCAATATGCAGAAACATTCAAATCCAAGAAGTTTTTGGAGGTAAAGGGTTTGATGTTTGTAAATTGCTATAGTCTTTGTGAAATATGGTATTTCTAAAATGTCATTTATGATCTTTATTGTTTACATGGGTAAATTCTAATAAAGTGAAGAACAAACTTTAAAAAAATTATATCTGTAATTTTTTATTTTTGAACCATTTTCACAGCTGCACATGGGCTCCATCATGTTGAGTAGAGATCAAGTCAAGTTTGGTTATACAGAGCAGGTTATAATGACAATGCAAAATGAACAGGTTGTGACATGTCGACCAGAATTTGTAAAACGCGTTGATTCTAGAACTTAACATAGCCGCATGTTTGTTTAAATTGTAATATTGAGTAAGCTAAACATAGTTTAGACTATTTGACATCAAACCTCTTTAGACGTTTCTTATCACTGATACCATACCTCTTCAGCCTGTGGGGTATGTGGAGAAGAACTGGATGGAGGATGAATATTCTGGGGGATGCTACTCAGTCACACTTCCACCCGGGGTACTGACAGAGTATGGAAGGTAAGCTGTGTGACATTACACTAGTTCAGTATTCTGGGAGGTACTACACGGTCATATAGCATAGTGTGGAAGATATAGCCGACTATGTTACTGTCAGAAATAGAAAAAAACTGCCTTTTCGCATTGATATCTACAGTTTACATAGTTAATATTTGGAAGTGTGAAATATCTGTAAAACTAAGTTCGGCCTAACTACATTCTCAGTGGTAGAGAGATAGGAAACGTAGAAAAAGGACTTTAGTGAGGAGAGATTAGTGCAGAAATGAACAATGCTGTTTTTTGTCTAGTCCTAAGCAACTTATTTGGAACAGACCATGGTTTTATGCAAATTAGTGTGCGATGATATTGTATTACAAAGGACACTTTTTAAATGCCCATTTTGAAATTAAGATTACATTTGAAATTAGCTTCATGATAAACGAAAGCTGACGTAAAAAATGATAAATTTAACACTGAAACTATGAAGGATGCAGCTACCACGGAGTCTCACTATCACTATAAAAAAAAACAGGTAGGAGGGGTCGTCTCAAAAGCTAAACCAGGACGGGTGTCACAGATTGTGGTTGGGGTCGGGTTGTGGGATAGAGATATCACCCGAGATAAGATAATCCTTTAGGGGAATTAAGCTGGGAAAGTAAACGGCATGTCATAACAATTTACAAATAACGTCCAGTCCTTTCGATCTTTGGGTGGTCATACCACCTACATATTTTGGGTATGTGGAGAAGAACTGGATGGAGGATGAATATTCTTGGGGGTGCTACTCGGTCACACTTCCACCTGGAGTACTAACACAGTATGGAAGGTAAGCTGTGTGACATCACATTAGTTCAGTATTCTGGGGGATGCTACACGGGCACACTTCCTCCTGGAGTACTAACACAGTAAGGAAGGCAAGTTGTGTGAGATTACACTAATTCAGTATTCTGGGAGATGCTACATGGGCACACATCCTCCTGGAGTACTAACACAGTATGGAAGGTAAGCTACATGACTTGACACTAGTTCAGTATTCTGGGGGATGCTACACGGGCACACTACCTCCTGGAGTACTAGCACAGTATGGAAGGTAAGCTACATAACATCACACTAGTTCAGTATTCTGGGGGATGCTACACGGGCACACTTCCTCCTGGAGTACTAACACAGTATGGAAGGTAAGCTGCGTGACATCACACTAGTTCAGTATTCTGGGGGATGCTACACGGGCACACTTCCACATGGAGTACTGACACAGTAAGGAAGGTAAGCTGTGTAACATCACACTAGTTCAGTATTCTGGGGGATGCTACACGGGCACACTTCCTCCTGGAGTACTAACACAGTATGGAAGGTAAGCTGTATAACATCGAACTAGTTCAGTATTCTGGGGGATGCTACACGGGCACACTTCCACATGGAGTACTGACAGAGTAAGGAAGGTAAGCTGTGTAACATCACACTAGTTCAGTATTCTGGGGTATGCTACACGGGCACACTTCCTCCTGGAGTACTAACACAGTATGGAAGGTAAGCTACATGACATCGAACTAGTTCAGTATTCTGGGGGATGCTACACGGGCACACTTCCTCCTGGAGTACTAACACAGTATGGAAGGTAAGCTACATGACATCGAACTAGTTCAGTATTCTGGGGGATGCTACACGGGCACACTTCCTCCTAGAGTACTAACACAGTATGGAAGGCAAGTTGTGTGAGATTACACTTATTCAGTATTCTGGGAGATGCTACATGGGCACACATCCTCCTGGAGTACTAACACAGTATGGAAGGTAAGCTACATGACTTGACACTAGTTCAGTATTCTGGGGGATGCTACACGGGCACACTTACTCCTGGAGTACTAACACAGTATGGAAGGTAAGCTGCGTGACATCACACTAGTTCAGTATTCGGGGGGATGCTACACGGGCACACTTCCTCCTGGAGTACTAACACAGTATGGAAGGTAAGCTGTATAACATCGAACTAGTTCAGTATTCTGGGGGATGCTACACGGGCACACTTCCACATGGAGTACTGACAGAGTAAGGAAGGTAAGCTACATGACATCGAACTAGTTCAGTATTCTGGGGGATGCTACACGGGCACACTTCCTCCTGGAGTACTAACACAGTATGGAAGGTAAGCTGTATAACATCACACTAGTTCAGTATTCTGGGGGATGCTACACGGGCACACTTCCTCCTGGAGTACTAACACAGTATGGAAGGTAAGCTACATGACATCGAACTAGTTCAGTATTCTCGGGGATGCTACACGGGCACACTTCCACATGGAGTACTAACACAGTATGGAAGGTAAGCTGTGTGACCTCACACTAGTTCAGTATTCTGGGGGATGCTACACGGGCACACTTCCAAATGGAGTACTAACACAGTAAGGAAGGTAAGCTGTGTAACATCACACTAGTTCAGTATTCTGGGGGATGCTACAGGGGCACACTTCCACCTGGAGTACTAACACAGTAAGGAAGGTAAGTTGTGTAACATCACACTAGTTCAGTATTCTGGGGGATGCTACACGGGCACACTTCCACCTGGAGTACTAACACAGTAAGGAAGGTAAGCTGTGTAACATCACACTAGTTCAGTATTCTGGGGGATGCTACAGGGGCACACTTCCACCTGGAGTACTAACACAGTAAGGAAGGTAAGTTGTGTAACATCACACTAGTTCAGTATTGTGGGTATGCTACACGGGCACACTTCCACCCAGAGTACTGACACAGTGTGGAAGGTAAGCTACATGACATCACACTAGTTCAGTATTCTAGGTTCAGCTAGACAACCAACCTTCCCCTGGGGTACTTACACAGTATGGAAGGTACATTGTAGTTTGTAAGAAACTACGCTAGTCCAATATTCAGGTGGAGCTTTGTCTTTACCACTTCCATAGGGGTGGTCACACAGTATGAAAGATTTGTGACTGCAGCAGTTTAGCATTCAGTGGGGAGCTTTATGTTGGCCCTTCCCTTGAGTGCCTGCATAGTGTTGGAGATCTATGACTAATACAGTATTATACAGTATGCAGTATGTAAGTCTTCAGCTTGACATTTGGTACTTGGCATCATGCCGTACACTATTGTGCATAAACCCATTGGCTGCTGAGTCTGATCACATGAGTGGACATTACTTTGTCATGCCACCTGAAGATGATTGTCAGAGTCATTTGTGTTAATTCAGTGGAGACATATTTCATGCATGATGAGAAATGTTTTCTTCAGGGAGATCAGGAAGCCACACCACCGTCTGTATTTTGCTGGGACAGAAACAGCTACAGAATGGATGGGATTCATGGAAGGAGCGATCCAGGCTGGGGAGAGGGCAGCCAGAGAGGTGGGTCACACATGTTGATACTGGGGACACTGGTGTAGAAAGGGGTGGGGGGGGTGGGCATTGGTGTAGACAGGGGGCCACTGGTGTAGACATGGGTGTCACTTGTAGAGACATTGGGTACTCACTTTTTTGACAGTGCCTTTGCCTAGGGGCCTCTGAGCAACGTTGTTGGAAAAGGCGCTATATAAATACTAACTTTATTATTAGTATTATTACTTGTAGAGACATGGGGGGACACTTGTAGAGACATGAGGGGACACTGGTAGAGACATGGGGGACACTTGTAGAGACATGGGGGTCAAATGTGTTGCTATTGTGGACACTTGTACAGACTTGGGGATCACACATATTCATATGGGGGGACAATGGTTTAGACATAGGGTCTAACATGTTGATATTGGGGAAATTGGTATAGACATGGGTTCACGGTTGCACCGGAAGCTGGCAGGGGTAATGGAGGCAAAGAACTATTTGATGTGCCACGAGTGGCGCTTACAATGATATATTGAAATTATTTTACGTGAGTAATTATTAGATATGAGGTTAGAAGTCTGAGAGCACAACCCTGTGAGAAAATGGGTGTGTACCTTTGATGGTAGCGATATTTAATTTTGATATTAAATATATGCTAATATATTAAACATGTGCTGATATCTTGGACAATGGTACAGACATGGGGTCACATGTGTTTATATAGGGGACATTTATAGAGGCATGTCACATGTGCTGATATCTTGGACAATGGTATAGACATGGGGTCACATGTGTTGATATGGGGGACACTGGTATAGATGGAGATGACTGGTGTCGACATGGGGACCACTGGTGTAGACATGGAGATGACTGGTGTCGATATCGGGACCCATGGTGTAGACATGTAGGTGACTGGTGTCGACATGGGGACCACTGTGTAGACATGGAGACCACTGGTGTAGATATGGGGACCACTGGTGTAGATATGGGGACCACTGGTGTAGATATGGAGGTGACTGGTGTAGACAAGGGGCTACTGGTGTCGACATTGGGGCCACTGGTGAAGCCATGGGTTTGGGGGCCACTGGTTTTAGAAACTGGTTTTGGAGTCAAAGGTGTAGACATGGAGTGGGGTGTCAAAGTTGTAGACATGGAGTGGAGGTCACAGGTGTAGACATGAAGTGGGGTGTCACAGGTGAAGACATGAAGTGGAAGGTCACAGGTGTAGACATGGAGCGGGAGGTCAAAGTTGTAGAAATGGAGTTGGGGGTCACAGGTGTAGACATGGAACGGAAGGTCACAGGTGTAGGTATTGAGTGGGAGGTCACAGGCGTAGGCATTGAGTAGTGGTCACAGTTGTAGACATGGAGCGGGAGGTCACAGGCATTGTAGACATGGAGTGGGAGGTCACAGGGTAGTAGGCATTGAGTGGGAGGTCACAGGTGTAGACATGGAGTGGGAGGTCACAGGTGTAGGCAGGAGGTCACAGGTGTAGGCGTGAATGCGTGAGTGAGTGAGTTAAAATTTAATAGTCACATCGGCAATATTTCAACCATATTGTGACTTAAAAAGTTGTTAATTAACAATAAACACAATTACATTATAAAACACCTGTCGACGAAGGACAGTAAAACAACTAAATTATCACAGGAATAAATTTAAGACTAGTAATTAAATCTAAAATATTTTACCCATAAATGACAATACAATATAAAAACCGGCTATAGATTGCCAACAACTGAAGGTAGATCAACATATGCATACTAGGGACCATGGGGACTTACAGTACATTTGCTTCCTGCAATTTTTGCGCTAGCTGGATTTACATCATCCCTTCAGATGTCAGCAATTTAGATACATCTAGCCATACATTAGAATTACACATATTCTACGATTAAAAAAGTGGAAAGTTTAACTTTACCTTGATTGTTTTGGGACTTACGAACCCTCTCAGGAGGACAATAATTGTACAGTACTTTAACCCCCATCGAAGATATAGCCACTAACAATCTTAGTTACTAATTCAAACTTCCAATCATAAAATATTTATGTATTTACAAATCATTCAACAAATTTAATTCGTTTAAAAATGCAATAATTAAATGAGAACTGATACTATTAAAAAGATCCTTCATAGTTCGTGATTTAAAATAGATATCCCTTGTGATAGAATATTCAACACAGTCAAGCACAGGTGTAGGCATTGAGTGGGGGGTCACAGGTGTAGACATGGACTGGGGGGTCACAGGTGTCACAGGTGTAGGCATTGAGTGGGAGGTCACAGGTGTAGACATGGACTGGGGGGTCACAGGTGTAGGCATTGAGTGGGAGGTCACAGGTGCAGGCATTGAGCGGGTTGTCACAGTTGTAGACATGGAGTTGGGGGTCACAGGTGTAGACATGGGTTTGGGAGACACAGTGTAGACATGGGGGTGGGGGGGGGGGCATTGGTGTAGACAGTGGGGGTCACTGGGGGTTACAGGTGTAGACATGGAGTGGAGGGTCACAGTTGTACACATGGACTGGCGGGTAACAGGTGTAAACATGGAGTGGGGGTCACAGGTGTAGACATGGAGCTGGGGGTCACAGGTGTAGACATGGAGTTGGAGGTCACAGGGTAGACATGGGTTTTGGAGCCACAGGTGTAGACATGGACTGGGGGTCACAGGTGTAGACATGGAGTGAGAGGTCACAGGTGTAGACATGGAGTGGGGGTAACAGGTGTAAACATGGAGTGGGGGTCACGGGTGTAGACATGGAGTGGGGGGTCACAGTTGTACACATGGACTGGCGGGTAACAGGTGTAAACATGGAGTGGGGGGTCACAGGTGTAGACATGGAGCTGGGGGGTCAAAGGTGTAGACATGGAGTTGGAGGTCACAGGGGTAGACATGGGTTTTGGAGCCACAGGTGTAGACATGGACTGGGGGGTCACAGGTGTAGACATGGAGTGAGAGGTCACAGGTGTAGACATGGAGTGGGGGGTAACAGGTGTAAACATGGAGTTGGGGTCACAGGTGTAGACATGGAGCTGGGAAGCCACAGGTGTAGACATGGAGTGGGGGGTCACGGGTGTAGACATGGAGTGGGGGGTCACGGGTGTAGACATGGAGTGGGGGGTAACAGGTGTAAACATGGAGCGGGGGGGGGGTCACAGGTACAGACATGGACCTGGGGGTCACAGGTGTAAGCATTGAGTGGGAGGTTACAGGTGTAGGCATTGATTGGAGGTAACAGTTGTAGAACGTGGAGTGGGAGGTCACAGGTATATGGGTGACCCCTGTGTTGTGAATCAATCGTGTAGACGAGTTAGTTACTTTAGCAAATTCAAGGTTAAAACCCAACTTTAGGGATGATAAATGTACATCTGCATTCTTATTAAGTGGTTACTTGAAGACACTGTTTGCTCTTTTCAGGTCTTATTTGCTGAGGGAAAGATTAAAGAATCAGAGATTATGCAAGATGAACCAGAATCAGAGGACTTCCCTGCCAGGCCCCTCCCGACTTCATGGGTAGAGCAGAACATGCCGTCTGTGACTGCCGTGGTTGTCAGTGTAGTGCTGGCTGGCTGTGTTGCTTTTGTGGCAGTCATTTTCCAGATGCTGGGATAGTGCTTTATTTGTTTAAAGCCACGCTAACATGTTATAAGCAAATATTCCAGGTATATGTCAGTGACAGGCAATCCAGTGATTGACATTATGACATTAACTTCGCACTTGGGATACAATGACTTGTGTGGTGGAGGTCGGTTCTAAGAATGATAGACTTAGTGGAGCTTCGGGTGTGATAGGGCTTTCTGGTGGCAGGCAATTAATCCGCAAATAAAATAACACACATTGTTAGATTCAGAGTATTCTAAGAGATTATTGGACCAATTAGCAAATCCAGTTTCATCAGGTGACGTGGACATGGAACAATCTGGAAGTTACTATCACCATTATAGACATACAAATGGAGCATTGGAACATTGCCCTTATTTAGGACTAATTTGATGTAATACGTAAGCTTGGAAACTAAAACAATCTGAAACAACAAAAATGCAACCTGGCACGGGAGAGATAATCGTACAAAAATCGTACAATAATGATTCAGCTGCATTTCTGATACGTAGAACACTCTGGTTCTGAACAAAATTACAAATCTATCTATCTTGTGTTCTATCTCCAAGCGGTTTTTTCGGGGTTTTTTGTTTTGTTTATTGTTAATTTCTTCTGTATTTTTGTTATATTCCAAGTTTTTTTATATTACATGTACACATGTGCACAATTCCAAGGAATATTTGAATATTTGAAAATATTGCTGTTCTAACCTTCAAGATCGATTTCCAATAACTTGAGAAATGACACACACATGACATTTGGTTGGTGCAGTAGTGTTCTTGCAAGTTTTGCGGCCGCTTATGAACATACGATGTTGTCTCGATTGTCAGATGAACATTTGTAAAACATGTCACTAACTTATAAGACAACTTTATCTTAAACACATGCCATCATCCGAGTATTTAATGCCTGTGACGCAATCGTCCGTTTATTCATTGAAGCTTGTGTTAAAACTGTTGCCCGAAAGCATGACGTTTGAATCTCTACACAAAAGGTATTCGGACACTTGACGTAATTTCCATTGACTTACATCTTAATTTACTGTAGCATAAATAATTTTCATGAATTTAACTTTTCTAAGATCCAAGTCAAATTTTGCACATTTGTGAGAAATCATCTTACCTACAATCGCATATTTTCTGTTTAATTTTCCGTTGCTTATTTACCGAATGGCAACAATTTAATCAACATATGTACAGTGCCGTGAACTCCTTAACATTGCGGCCTATGTGATTGTGCATTGCGGAGCCATACGTAAGTTGATAAATGTGATGTCATTAGTTAAATAGTAGTCGAAAAATTATGTGCACAGAGCAGTGATGATTTCAAATTTGCCTATCAAATTTTACAAAGATCCATCCTTAACTCACGTCATGAAAATTATTTATGCTACACTGAAATAACAGGTTAGTCCATGGAAATTACGTCAAGTGTCCGAATACTTTTTGCACGGGTCTGTGTAAATTACCTTGACAGTTCCTTTCAGAAAACCGAAGTTTGCATCTTTCTTCCAAACCGTTAGTGAATATATGATATTTGCTGAAAATAATACGACCTAGGTTAGCGAACGAGCGTTGGACCAAGAACGTAATTTTCCGCAATGCAAGCCCCTATAACTGTTCTAAAAGTCAGTCCCTTCAACAAGCAGACGACCAGTTTTCATACCGCCCTGATCCTTAGCTAGCTCCCGACGCCTTACCTTGAGAGACGGGGCCCAGCATACTCTTGAAACTAAGTGCCATTGTTCATTTTTTTGTTTACAAAAAGACATTTCTTTGGTCAGAGATATTATTTTTCAATATATTTTATGTTTTGTTCTCCAATGACACAAGGTAAATGTGTTGTTGTCCATGTTTGACATATAATGTTGCTTTTCATAATTTCATAATAAAATGGTTGAAAATGGGAACCTGGGTTTTCACATCTATGTTGTTTCTGTGGCTGATTTTTAAGGAAATACCCCAGCACGACCATGTAGTTCTATTCCATGGTATTGAATCTGTCATTTCGTATGCTGGGTTCCAACATACTGATCCTACATACCCAAGTGCATGCACACGTGTAAGTGTGTCTAGTGTTTAGTAGTCAGAACTGATGCTGGTTTATTATCTACACAGCTGAGATACCATACTCACACATGATATGACCAGTTCCCCATGTTGTTTTGTTCCCCTTAATGACAAGGGGAACAACAAGTATCATCTGGTAATGCCTATGGTATGACGCGCCCAAAGATCGAACAACCGAAATTCGAACCAAGTCAAGTGCCCTCCCCTTTGTAATTAGTTTGTATACTTCGTGGAAGGTTTTATCCGTCGGCTGAGATGACACCCACTCAACCAATTCATTAATCAGCCAATCCAGATGAGCTGCTTAAGCTCGCGACATGTCATCAAGGTCACCGTCATATCAATTTCATTGCTACTGAGAATATTGTGTAAGCATGAGCATACACTCTTCAAAAACAGAAACGCATAAGGGATTTTGAGAAATTCCACTCATGTAGCTGCGGCAAAAACAGAACAAATATACTATTTCTTTCCAAAACGTCATCTTTGTGTGACTGTAAACAGATTCAGCGCCAATTTTAACTTTTCCCCTTGTTTTAGAAGCTTTTGAATAAGTATTCGCAAGAACGTCACCAAGAAAACGTGCAAAGCAAAATGTGCGTGGATGTAAGCGGAAAAGCATGCGGCATTGATCACTATAAAAAGGCACACGTTGTGACTAAGTTTGTCATTCGTTTTTGCCTGGAAAAGAGGAAATCATCATGTCACGACTGAGTGGCACCAATCGAAACATCGCCAAGGGTCGCCGTGAAGCTTGGGAGTCGCAGTCTGCAGTTACCCGACATTTCAACGTTCATCAGAGCTCCATATCTCGCTTTTGGGATCGTTTCCTGAAAACCAATTCCGCCCAAGATCGCCCTAGAAGCGACCGTTCAGGAGTTACCACTAAGCCCAGGTCCGCTACATCAGGGATGCTCACTTGTTTCATCGTCTTAATTGCCACAGCCCGTGGAGACTGCTCAATGCATCCCAGGTCTTCCAACTACTAATACGGGATGAATGCTGTCAATTACTAGACCTGTTTGAGAACGTGGTTTCCAGACCTCATCAGACTTCCCAGTAGCCAAATCTGTTGATACATCCACACACAAGACAGGCTCACGCCAGTCCTGAGTGCTTCCAGTTACAAGCATTGAACGTATTAAGAACTGTCTCACCAGAACAGCAGCCAAGGCCGTCTCACTGGCTCTTAGACGTTCTACCAGAAATCTCTACGATGATACGTGGAAGAGCTTATACCATTGTGCAGTGCAGAAAGAGTTTGCAGCAGCGACAGCTATGCATCCGCATGTAGCAGAATACCTATGTCCCTTGACAGCTACTCGGCACCTTAAGGGTTCTACATTATCTACGTACCTGGCGGCCATCAGTTCAGTCCTCACCATGAACTCAGGAGTGAAACTTACCAAAGTTCCGGAACTCATCGCGTTGCTGACATCCTTCACGCTTTAAGGCAATGAAAAGAAGTTTAAGGTGCCAGCATGGGACTTAAACATAGTCATTCAACATCTAACAAGCGACGACGATCACAAGCGTCTGCAGCAAGTAGTGAGCGAGTGAGTAAGTTAATATTTAACGTCACACCGGCAATATCTCAGCAATATCGTGACGAAAACAATTTATACAATAAAAATTGAAATTATTTTGAATTTTAAAACCTGTCGACGATGGACAGTAAAAATACTAAAAAATCACAGATATAATTTAAAAATAGCGAGCAAAGCTAAAATATTCCAATTAAAGAAGACAATACAATATAAAACACGGGCTATAGATCGCCAACAACGGAAGGTAGATCACCATACTAGGAACCATGGGGACTAACATTACTTTTGCTACCTGCATGGAGCCTAGCATGATTTACACTATCACTTCAGCCGCTGGCGATTGTAGGATAATTTAGCCGAAATTTAAAAGAACAAAAATACTACGTTTAAATTACTACGTTTAAAAGATTGGTATATGAACATTTTACTTTGAAAGTTTTGGGGACTTACGTACCTTCTCAAGAGGAGAATAATTTTACTGTACTTCAGCCCCCTTTGAGGATACAGTCACAAACAATCTAAGTTCATAATTTTAACTACTAATTATATAACTTTATCTATTTACAAAACATATATCACAATTCATGTAACAAATGTATCTCTTTTAAAAAATCAATGATTAAATGATAATTAACTTTATTAAAAAGGTCCTTTACTGTTTTTACATTGAAATATTTATCCCTTATGATGGAGAATTCAACACAGTCCAGCAGGACATGCTTAACCGTAGTGCTCTCATCACAAGGGATACAAAACGGAGGATCCTCACCTTTCAATAGTTATGCATGAGTATATCTTGTGTGGCCAATACGACACCGTCGTATGATGACCTCTTCAAATCTGGACTGACAACCCAAGTAAGTGTAACCGATATGGGGTTTTATTTCATGTATTGTATTGATACCGACTTGGATGTCCCACTTCTTCTGCATCAGATCACGGATGTAGGTTCTAATGCTAGCTTTGTAATCAGAGTATGGGATCAGAAGTGGTGTCACAGATTTGTTGAGTGCTGCCTTGGCAGCAAGATCACCATGGTGCCCCTAGAAATGCCAACGTGGCAGGGTAACCAACAAAAGACGATGTGGCATTGGCCAGTAGCAAGATCATTATACAATTCAATAATTTATATTAAAGGTGGATGTTTACAAGAAATATTTTTAATAGCCTGAAGGCACGAAAGAGAATCGGAAAAGATTATGTATTGTTTATGTTTAGTGTGTCCTTGAATATATTAAAGAGCCGTTAATATGGCGTTCGCTTCTGCTGTAAAAATAGAGCTGTTATCAGGTAATCTAGAAGATATTGTTCTGGATCCAATGACAGTGGCACATGCCACCGCGCCACCATCCTTGGACCCATCAGTAAATAATGATTTATATGTATTATTTTTAATTTGTAATTGATTATACTCTTGTTTATATTGTAATTCATTTGTTTCTGATTTTTTAAACTTTGTCAGTGCTAGGTCAACCTGTGGCCTCACATATTGCCAAGGAGGAGAAGAAAGTAGACGGGAAGGAGCTATATTTTCAAGCTCAAGACCGGCAGCAGAAAGCAATGGTTGAATTCTTACACCAAGAGGCGGAACAAGAGATGATTCTTATTGTATAAATCCTCATAGAGGGGATTGAAGACACAGTTATATGCAGGGTTAAACTCGTTAAAATATGCTTTTGTAATATATTGTAAAGATAATTTTATACGGCGTTGGGTAAGAAAAGGCTCATCTGCCTCAACATAGAGACTGTCAACAGGAGATGTTCTGAATGACCCAAGACAAAGTCTCAGACCTTGGTGGTGGACAGAATCTAAAAGTTTTAAGTTGCTTTTGCAGGCTCCACCATATACGATGGAGCCATAATCAAGTTTAGATCCTACCAATGATCTGTATACGTGAAGGAGGGTAGTTTGATCCCCTCCCAACTTAGAATTTGAAACAACCTTTAACAAATCTAGTGCCTTCAGGTAATTAGCTTTAAGGGATTAAATGTGTGGCAAGAAGGTTAAATGAGAATAAAAATTAGACCCAAGAATTTGGCCTCCTTTACAACTTTGATGGGAGTGCCATTTAAAGATAGTCCTGGGTCCTTATGCGGCTTATATTTTCTACAAAAGTGTAGACAATTAGTTTTTGATTTAGAAAATTTAAAACCATTTTCAAGACACCATTTATTCATTTTAATGAAACATAACTGCAATTGCCGTTCAATAGTATTCATTTATTTACCACGACAAGAAATATTAAAATCATCCACAAAGTGTGATCCATCAATTGAATCGTTTACAACCTTGGATAAACTGTTGATCGCGATGCTAAACAATGTGACAGACAAAATACTGCCTTGAGGGACACCCTGATCCTAACTGTAATGATAAGACAGGGTTGAACCCACACGGACTTGAAATTCCCTGTCTTTTAAAAACTGTGATATAAAAAAGAGGCAAACGGCCTCTCAAACCAAAATCATGTAAGTCCTTCAAAATGCCATGCTTCCAGGTCGTATTATAAGCTTTCTCAAGATAAAAAAAATTGATACAGCATGTTGTTTATTTACAATAGCATTTGTAACAAAGGATTGTAAACGTACCAAATGATCAATGGTAACCACATTGAATATTGGTCATATGGTTATTGGTTTCAAGATACCAAGTTAATCTATTTTTCACCATACGTTCCATGGTTTTACAGACACAGTTAGTTAGAGGAAAGTCTCCAGACGTCCATATTTGGTCAAATATATCTAAAAGTATCATCAGACATGGTTCAGGCAAGTGCTTCAGTAGCTGGTATTGTATATTATCATCACCCGCTGCAGTGTCATGAGCTTGCTCAAGAGCAGTATGTATCTCATGTAATGAAAACTCTTCATTATAATCTTCACCGTTATTTGATTCGAAATTAAGTTTTGTCTTTTCCTGTTGTTTCTGATATCTCTGAAACTCAGGGACATAATTTGCCGATGAAGAAATTTTGGCGAGTTTCGACAATTTGTATTTGTTAAATAATTTTATCATCTGACCCTTTTGGGGCTCTGCCACTTTGTTTCTTCAAAGAATCTGGCTTCGGTTTGCCTTTGTTTTTAACCATTTGTTGAACGTTTGACGTTGATTGAGACCTTTGAGTTGACTGAGAAGATGTGTCACGGTCATAAGATGGATCTGATTGGATTTGGGGTGTGTCAGGAAGTGTTTCTGCAGTTTGTGTAGATATTGCAGGTGACAAAATCTTCGGATAATCTGTTTTTTTCCAAGTCAAGTTCGTCTGACAGCTGGCGGACGATTTAGTTACT